AGAGAAGTCTTTAGTCTTGGGCTAATTTTGTCAGACCACTGAAGCTGTCCTCTCCTGGGGACTTTACTCAGTGCCCATATAGTAGGAGGACATTCTACTCTGGCTGGTCAGAACATAAACCACTCCCAGCCTTGTGTGAGTTTTAATGATTGTTCTGCCTACTTCTTTCTGGTGTTTCTTTTCCTGGTTTGGGGGTGTTTCTTCCCAGGCACATGCCTGTTGGTCCTCAGTCGGTCTCAAGTGGATCCAGAGATCTGAGTCTGTGAAACTCCCTCTGCTCTGGCATGTTGCCCTGGAGATTTTAATCTCCTGGACTCCCTAAACTCTGTTCTTCTTCAACTTGGTGAGGCCACAGGCTCTGTCTGGGTTCCACCTGCCCGCACTGCCGTCTGGAAACCTTCCAGGTAGGAAGATGGGGTGGTTGTAGGGCTCATTTTGTTTCCCTTCTCTCAGTGGTCTGTGTTCTGAGCTGCAGCTTGGCCAGTGTCTTGAAATCAATCATGGTTTTGTACATTTTGCCCAGTTTACTAGTTGTTTGAGGTAAGAGGGCAAATCTGGTCCTTGTTACTGTTTTGTGTCTGGAACAGGAAAGCCAATTTTGACCAGGCTGCTGCTTCACTCCTCCAGCCCACACTCAGAAGCTGTTGTCCCTCTCTCCTGCCTTCCCTCTGTCCATCCTGCTGCAGAATACAAGCATCCTCACCCTGGAGTACCTGTCTTCCAACTCTGGCCAGAGCGGCACCTCCCACTCCTCCTCCTCTGATGCCAGAGCTCCGATAGCATGAAGTCTCAGGACGCACAGCTCGGCCACCTCAGCTCACTGTACTCCCAAAGCCCAACTCACCCCATTTCTGGGCCCTTAGCCTCTCTGCTGTGGTGTGCCCCTTCCTGTCACGATTCTGGATGCGGCACAGACTACTCTTTGTTCTTTTCTCATCGGGCCGGGGGCAGGGTCTCCAGCCTCCTGGTGTGCCCAGCCAGAGGGCTAGGAGACGGCCATGTGGGGACTCACAGATGCTGGGTCCTTTCCTTGGGACCCAAGACTGGCATACTTCTACCCCACTTCATTTTCTCCTCAACCACAGGAGGCCCCACTGCTCCCAGTCCTTTCCCCCTAGCTGGAGAAACTGAGGCTCGAGGAAACTAGGCGGCCGGACCAAAATGGTACAGCTAATCCCTGCTCTGCTTTGATTTTCCTTCTTCTTTGAAAATTTACAGAACCGGTATTTGCTGTGTAACAAAATTCCTCAGCAAAGTCTGTTACTAATCTCCTTTCCCCACACCTATGGTCACATTTCCCTGAGGCATCCAGTGTCCTCAGTTTTGACATTTACTCTTCCACATCTCTCCCCTGGTTCACGTACGCAGACCCCAGAGTACACAAGACACAGGGCTTCAGCGTGTCGTTTTAAAAATGGGATTGTACTGTGTACATTCCAGTGCTGCCCTTTGTTCGAATTGGTGTATAATTCACATACCATAAAATCCACCCTTTGCAAGCGTACAATTCGGTGGTTTTGAGTGCATTCACAGGGTAGTGCAACTGTTACCACAGTCCATTTCCTCAGCCCAGTAAGAACCCCTGTGCCCAACAACAGTCACTCTAGCTCCCAGCAACCGCTAGTTTGTCTTTTTGTCTCTCTGTATTTGCTTATTCTGGGCATTTCACATAAATGGGATCACACAGTATGTAGCCGCCTTCTTCTGGCCTCCTTCCCTTAGTATAACGTACAGCGCCTATCTTTGGCTGGCTGCATTATTTTCCACGGCCGGCCTGTGTGCATGTACCCTAACTTAGCCAGCTGTCCTAATGCCTTGGTTGGTTGGTTTGGGGTAAGAACAGTGCCGCGATCCCCCGCCTTGCATTTGCTTCCTTATGTGCAGGAACTTTTGTTTCTGCCATGCGAGGACCCAAAGGGTATAACAATTCCCACTCCACCAGAAATGCTTCCTCATGGCCGGAATACTAGGTTTTCATTGGTGCTACTCACTCTGATTAGGGAAAACGCGTGACCTTATTTTTGTTTCGATTTACATTTTCCTGACAAGAAATCATTAGTCTTCTCATAGTCCATTGGAAATTTGCAGTTCTTCCTCCTTGAGTGGCTTTTTCATATTTTTAAGATTTTGAAACATTTAAACAGAATAAGCACAACCTTCTATGTACCTACTTTGCAAAATTAATGTCTAACTTCTGTCATATTGGTTCCGAATCGTTTTAAAAAATGAAACATTGCAGGTAAAGGCAGGTGCATCCTCCCCCACATCTCCCTTCTCCCCTGCCCTCCTCAGTCTGTGATAGTTTCAGAGGACAGTGACTAACAGCAAACACCATGGGGCACCTGCCATCCACCAGCCCCTCAGATGAGCGCTTCACACGTAGTAGTAATTCACTGGATCCTCACAGTGATGCCATGACCCAGGGACTATTAGCAGACAAGGCAACTGAGGCACCCCCGACTCATAGAGCTAGTAAGGGCAAGAGTGGGGAGCCCACGTGGGCCACTGAGCTCGGAACCTGTGCCCTTACCCACCAGGCAGCAGACCTAGATGCATATCACAGTGGGCACAGTTCTCCTCAGCCTGCTTTTGTAACCACTGCCGCACTCTTAATCGCTCCCCACAGGACAGGTTACTCCACTGTGTTCGTTTCCACTGCTGCACTGTATCCTGTTGTGTATTCATCCCTACCAGTGGGCTGCAGCATGTTTCCAGTGTTTTCTTAGCCACTGCAGGCTGGATAGGAATCTCACAGTGGGCTTTCGGACACAGAGAACACACTCTCTCAGCTTTACTAGAGATGATAGAATAGGTTTCGCTTTCCAAAATGGATGTCCCCCTTACCCCTGTCCAACGGTGTAAGACCCTCCCATTTCCCCATGGACCAGCCCACACTTGGTATTTCCAGGCTTTAAACATTTTGCCTCTGCTACATGTGAAATGGTATCTTTCTGTTTTCTCATTTCGGGATGTCTAGTGTGACTGAGTGTCTCTTCATGTGCTGCTTAATCATTTGCCAGTCTTCTGTGAATTGTCTGCTTATGCTCTATGCCCATTTTCTTTTTTTCTTTTTTCTTAGCGTTTTGTTAAGTGTTGCCTGCAGAAAACATAAACTTTTGGGGCGCCTGGGTGGCTCAGTCGGTTAAGCATCTGCCTTTGGCTCAGGTCATGATCCCAGGGTCCTGGGATCAAGCCCCGAGTCGGGCTCCCTGTTCAGCGGGCTGTCTGCTTCTCCCTGCCCCTCTGCCCACTCGTGTTCACTCTCTCAAATCAATAAAATCTTCAAAAAAGGAAAACGTAAACTTTAATAGAGCAAATGGAAATCTGGTTTCCGGGTTTGCTGTCAGACCGGCCAGGGACTTATGGAATTGTATCCCAGAAGCCCCCACATTTAGATTCTTGCTGCATCTGGAGTTGCATTTTGTGTGTGGTATAAAGAGGGGCCTTATCTTTCCTCCTGTTTTATGTTGGTGTTTGTCTTAGCATGGGTTGCCATAACAAAATACCCTGACTTGGCAGCTTCAACTGCAGAAATTGATTTCCTCACAGTTCCAGAGGCAGGAAGTCTGAGATCAGGGTGCCGGCAGGGTCCGGTTTGCTGCAGCTCTCTACCTGGCTCTCGCGGTGCTCTCGGGCGGTCTGTCCTCAGAAGGCATGGGCTGGGGGTGGGGGGAGGATCTCTTTTGTCCTCTTCTCAGAGGCCACCAGGCTTGTCAGATCAGGGCCCACCTTTATGACCCCACGTAACTTCAGCTACCTCCTAAAGACCCTGTCTCCAAACACAATCACGTTGGAAGGGAGGGCTTCCACATAGGAATTTCAGGGGGACACAGTTTAGTCTGCAGCAACATTGAGAATTATCTAAAAGTATAAACCACTTTTAGAGCTAAAGGGCAAAGCTCTTGGGACCCCAAAGGATTTCCCCACTCTTCCCGACTGCCTGGTAGTCACAAGTCCTCTCAAGGCTTGACGTTCCGCACCCCTGTGCCTGACCATGGGTGCTGATGCAGACCCAGGGTTTCCAGAGAAACCTGGTGACCCCTGGGAGCTTGGCCGCATGCCAGTCACTCCCAGCAAACAGGTAGGTGGGAGCCAGGCCTCCCCTGCTTAGTTTATTCTTCATTCTTATGTCTAATGTAATGCCCTGTCTACAATTTAAGCCAGACTCCCATGGCGCCCGCATCTTTAAAGAGCGAACCACCCTTGCCACCTTAGGTTGGCACCCTGATGGGTTTTGAGAGCTTATTTGCTGGCAAGAGGGACCCAGGGTGGGATTTGGAGCATGGAGAGCAAGAGGAACATTGGGGATGGTAACCTGGAGGCTCCAGAGTGGGTGAGGAGCCCCAGTCAGCAGAAGAGCCTGGGGTTCTAGAACAGGAGTGCGTGCAAGTGTCAGTGACCAGGGCTGGGGAGGGTAGGCACAGGTCAGTACACGGGCCCAGGGAAGGCAGGGGAGCAGGGGTCCCATGGGAAGGTGTGGGACACAGGCAGGAAGAACTGAGAGTGGCTCCCTTGGTCTCTTGCTGACAGAACTTGCTGATAAGTACAGAGTTTCCTTCGTTAGGTTGTGGTAATGGCTTCCTGTCCAGAGTAGGGTCCTTTTGCGATGGTGAGATTTGAGTAGGGCTTCTGGGTTCTTTGTACTATTCTTTTAAGTTCTTAAGTTTGACATTCTTAACCCTGGGAAGCATAGCGTCTTACCCAGAACTTACAGCAGCCTCCAGCCCACAGAGGCACCAGCACCCAGGCTGGCCGGGTAGCTTGGCCCTCCCAGTCTAGAAGGCCGGGTCCACTTGGCAAGTCCCGGCCCCGGCGTGGTGTGTATGTTGGGGCTGTATGATAGATGGCCTATAGCACAACCTTCCATACTCAGGAGAAGGTCACCAGAGGTTAACCCTTCATTCCTAAGGTCCTCAATCGACGTGTGGCTCCCTTGGAACCATGAACACAGTCCGAATCAGTCCCGTCCTGGGCAAATGAGAATGTGCATGTCATTCCAGGAATCAGTGACTTTCAAGGATGTGGCTGTGGACTTCACCCAGGAGGAGTGGGGCCAGCTAGACTCCCCTCAGAGGGCCTTGTACCGTGACGTGATGCTGGAGAACTACCAGAACCTTCTTTCCCTGGGTAAGACAGCTCCTCGAAGCCCAGTGTGCAGTCTGGCCATTCTGCCATGCCATAGGTATTACCAAGCCTCCCTTCGGTGCCGGCCCTGGTGCAGGCCCTGCAGGATGTGGGAGATGTGGTTGCTGCACTCACACTGGGGCTGGGCAGTGCATGTAACTGCCAGCATCCTTGCCTGAGGTGGGGCTGGTCCCGGGCTGGAGCCAGAAGAGAGGGAGAGGGTGGACAGGGGCCTGGGAGGCCAGCCTGCCCTGGAGCTTTCCGAGGGAGACAGGGCAGGGCCTCAGTACCTATGGGGTCCGCAGAGTGCACCCTTGAGTTTGGGTTCTGAGTGTAAGATCCCCCATCCCTGGGGATGGCACACACCTTGGGTGCTGGCCCGGACAGCCCCACCCTGGGGAGCCACAGCACGCAGAACCACACACACCACTTCCTCCCTGCAAGCAGGACCCCCAGTCTGTAAGCCGGATGTGATCTCCCACCTGGAACGAGGCGAGGAGCCGTGGCAGATGCCCAGAGAAGTCCCTGGAGGGGCTTGTTCAGGTGAGTGGGGGACACAGTGGAAGGACATGCAGACTCCTGCCTCACAGGACCACCCCCCACCCGCCTCCTTGTGGTCCTGCTTCCCTTCCTTCCTTCAACACACACACAGCACCACCGGCATGTGGGGAACCCTGCTGGAAATACATCGGTGAGCAAAACAGGCAAAGACATCTGCCTTCAACTGGCAGGAGACAGAAGTCATGTCTATATCTCTGGAAACATTTCACAAGTGGCACTTGTTGGATGGACAGGGGCGGGGCGTATGTGTGGACCTGGGGTCCAGGGCCTCCCTCACCAAGAAGAAGGCAGAGTCAGCCTGGGGGTGCGGAGAGGTGGGGATCACAGTTCGCAGAGGTGACTCAGAGGGGGACGGCCCTCCAGGGACGTGAAACTGACAAGAGATAAATTTAGCTTTTAAAGAAATGTACATACATCTCAGGGCCAGAGCACACATTTACAGTTTGCAAGCGTTCTGAAGGAAAGACGGAAGAGAGGCGGTCTGGAGGCAGTCTCTTCCCTCCTGGCACCAGGGAGAATTTAGCTACAATTAGCATTTCTGGACTTGTGTTTACCCCGTGTTCACACCCAGCCCCGACCCAGTTCCAACACACAGCCGTCTCTCAGTCGATGTCTCAATATGTCATGTCCAACTGCCAGACCCCGTGAGCCCTGCTCCGTCCCTGGCCCCCTGGCTCGATTTGGAGTTCCCCGGCTCCTCCTCCTCCCCGCCCCTTGTGGGCTTGCGGTCCATCTCACCCAAGATGCGAGATGCGTGCCCCTTGGCTCTGGCCCTCGGGCCTTCGGGCACTCTGGCTGTTGGCCGGCCCTCTCTGTGCTTATCGGAGCCCCTATCCGACCTCAGTCTGGGCTCTAGTGGCAGGGCTCTGCCTGCTTACGGAAGATTGCATTTCCTGTTTCTTATAGAAGAGGAGCCCGGGCCTGGGGTGAAGGACAGGCCGTGTCAACAGCAGGGCGTTTACAAGGAAGAGCCTTGCCAGGAGCCGATCACCGAGCCACTGGGGCGGTCCGGGGTCCAGAGCCCCGGTCCGGGCATCGGGCAGGCCCGCGAGGGCCCCGCAGCTGCTCCCGTGCGGGTTGAGGCTGCGCTGCGGAGGTCAGCACCAGGCAGCAGTGGGGACGCTCCCCCAGAGGGGCGCTGGCACGGCCACAAGGCTTCGGAGAAGGATTTCCCCCCTGGGTGCACCCTCTTCACCTCCCAGACCATTCCTGCCCAAGGAGACCCTCCTGGCGGGCCCACCGAGAGCCTCCAGTCCGGCGAGGCGGCCCCCAGGCAGCAGAGCGCGGGCCCGGGGAGAGGCCCCGGCAAGTCCGGCGAGCGCGGCGAACACCCACCGGCGAGCCGGCAGCGGGGGGCGGCGGCCGGGGCCGGCCTCTTGGCGTGCGGCGAGTGCGGGAAGGCCTTCCGGCGGAGCTCGTCCCTGACCCTGCACCGGCGGTGGCACGCCCGGGAGAAAGCCTACAAATGCCACGAGTGCGGCAAGGCCTTCACCTGGAGCACCAACCTCATCGAGCACCAGCGCATCCACACCGGGGAGAAGCCGTTCTTCTGCGGCGAGTGCGGGAAGGCCTTCAGCTGCCACTCATCGCTGAATGTGCACCACCGGATCCACACGGGCGAGCGGCCCTACAAGTGCAGCGCCTGCGAGAAGGCCTTCAGCTGCAGCTCGCTGCTCAACATGCACCTGCGCGTGCACACGGGTGAGAAGCCCTACCAGTGCGGCGCGTGCGGCAAGGCCTTCAACCAGAGGACACACCTGACGCGCCACCAGCGCATTCACACCGGCGAGAAGCCCTACCAGTGCGGCGCATGCGGCAAGGCCTTCACCTGCCACTCGTCCCTGACCGTGCACGAGAAGATCCACAACGGGGACAAGCCGTTCAAGTGCGGCGAGTGCGGCAAGGCCTTCAGCAGCCGCTCGCGCCTCACGCTGCACCAGCGCATCCACACGGGCGAGAAGCCGTTCAAGTGCAACGAGTGCGGCAAGGCCTTCAGCTGCCACTCCTACCTCGTCGTGCACCAGCGCATCCACAGCGGCGAGAAGCCGTTCAAGTGCAACGAGTGCGGCAAGGCCTTCAGCTCCCACTCCTACCTCATCGTGCACCAGCGCATCCACACCGGGGAGAAGCCCTTTGACTGCAGCCGCTGCTGGAAGGCTTTCAGCTGCCACTCGTCCCTCATCGTGCACCAGCGCATCCACACTGGGGAGAAGCCCTACAAATGTGGCGAGTGCGGCAAGGCCTTCAGCCAGAATCACTGTCTCATCAAACATCAGAAGATCCACGCCGGGGAGAAGTCATTCAGATGTAACGAGTGTGGGGAAATGTTCGGCTGGAGCGCCCACCTCATGGAACACCAGAGAAGACACAGCGAGGAGAAGCCCTTTGCCATCCAGTTCAACGAGCACCTGCTGAGCACTTACTACGTGCCGGGAGGCCTGCTAGGCACGGGGGGCGCGGGCGTGAGCAGCGTGGATCCGATTGATGCCCTGGACGTGGCAAAGCTCCTGTGTGCAGTGCAGCCCTCAGCCGGCAGGACTTCACCGCTGGGCAGCGAGCCTGGAAATTAGTGCGGTGTGCCCACCCTCAGCCTCGCTCCTTCCCTAGAAAGCACAGCAGCTCGGATATGCACAGCCTGCCCATGCCTCCACAGTAGAGACTGGCCCTGCCGCCTGTGCCCATGTCCCACGCGCTGGGACAACTCTCTCAGAGGTCATCGCCACCCCAGCGAGCATTCCACTGTAGGAGAGAAGAGCCGAGGGCCATCTGAGGATGTCCCGTCGTCCTGCTTTCCTTAATGAGCTTGCAAGACACTGACATGGAGAATAGGTCTTTCCTGCAGACAGAAAGAAGGTATATTGATCATTGTGTCCTCGGACAGGCTTCTGGCATGATCTCGATCAGGAATTTCCTTTGTACGCGGTTATGTTTAGAATGATAATGATGATAATAAAAACAAACAGAAGAGTTATGAACAGTATTCCAAGTGAACGTCAGTATATTCCAGGAGGGGAGAATGATCTTGAATGGTGAGGGTTTAGGAAAAGGCAGATTTCCTGGACTCACCTCACTGAAGCAGCTCTACCACAGAGTCATCTGGTAGTGACAGCACCTCTGCCTCGGGAGCATGGCCCGGCTTCGGCGCAGCCGGGTCCTGACATGCCAGCATCGGGCCTGGCCATCTAGTCCCCACTGGGAAATGGCGAGCACACAGGTGGGTGCTCGGCGTCCATCCCGGGTCTAGTGTTGGGATAGATGTGTCTAGAAGCGTGCCTTCACCCTGCAGGGCCTCCCTCTGCTCCAGTGAGCTCAGCTCGCCGGCTCAGCCCTACGGGAGGAGCCCCTCCATGGAGCCTGTTCCGTGTTCTCTGCAGCGGTGGGCGGGGTTCATCTGGAATTAATGTTCGTTCCGCTCAGTCCCAAGCAAGTCTAAGCTGCTTTCTCAGTGATAATACTTTACATTTATATAGAGAGCTATAGTTTATGAAATGCTTTTTAGTATACTTTTTAAATTATGGCAGCAAAATAACTACATTTCGGGAAATGTGGAAGTAAGGAAGAAGACCCCCATAATTCCTAATAAACTGCATTTCGCACTTTGATACATTACCTTCTGCTTATTTCAAAATGGATTTTTACATTACTGCAAATATAGTGTATATATCATTTTAATCTTTTTTTTCCACCTAGCTGCATAGCAGAATTTTTCCCCACGTAACTGAACTGTCTGGAGTTATAATTCTCAGTGGAGAACATCCATTAGATGTTCCTTTGTTGAATGTTGAGGTTATTTCCATGTTTTCACTATTATAGATCATTTCACTGTTATAACCCATTCTTCATAGAGCATCTTTTTGCATTATACTTCTTTAGCGTTTTCTCAGATTTCTAAAAGTGAAAATTTTGAGATAAAGGAAATGAACAACCTCAGGAATCATTTTTGTATGGTTTTGGTGGTGTGTAAAGTCACACCATTTCATTAGGAAGAAATCGTCAGCAATAGTGGTCAGGTAGGAACGTCCCCCGCATGGCATCTCCCGAGACGGGGGCCTCCCAGCTCAAAGCTGGGTGTCCAGACCGTCTTCGTTCAGGGCACGGTGACCACACAGCGATGCTCCTGGGCACCTGCCACCCCACTGCATTCCTCCAGAGTGTGCAAGCGGGCCTCCCATAACACGGTCCCCAGGGTCGCATCGTGGCAGTCACAGTCGCTTATCTGACAAGTAGGAAAAGTCCTATTGTACAGCTGCATTTGTAAAAGACAAATACAGCCTGGGCTTAATTCATCATTATCACACTCATTTTTCTCCTTATTTCAAAAGAACTTAAAATGAAAACATCTCTGTGGGGCCCTGGACACAGTGGCTGCTGTCAGCCCTGCAGTGAGTACTTCGAGGTACTCAGCTGAGTGGCACCTTATTATCACTGTACTTTGCACCTTCAATAGCTAATGAGGTTGGATATTGAACATGCTTTGATTCTTGGTCTTTTATCTTGAAAATAATTTGAATATACCCTTCCCCCTCTTTTCATTGGAGACTTGATGTCTTTCTTTCATTTACATATAAACTTTTTTTTTCCCCTGCTTACACAAGCAATATGTATGTGCTGAAGAAATTTGGAAAAATATTCAGGAAATTGTAAGAATGAAAGTATCCCTCAGTATCAGTTCATAGGCCACCGCCAGAGGTGCATTTACTTCTGGTTCTTTTCTGTGCACAAAGAATATGCCTTTGCTTTTAAGGCAAAACTAGATTCATTCTCTGCATGTTATTTTTATCTTTTTCCGTGTAACGTTTTATGGTGAGCATTTTCCACATTACAAAATATTTTTCAGAAACATTATTGATGGCTGTATCTTTCTCTGTCTTCTCATTGTATCAGGATTGGTCTGTTCATTTATTGTTGAACATCATTATCTGTACCTATAAATAATTCTGGAACATAAATGCCGTTTTGCCCTTTGATCACTTCCTCAGAATGAATTCTGAGAAGTGGAGTTCATGGGCAGAGTTCACAAACATTGCAAAGCTGTTTCTAGGTCGAACCCAGCACAACATTCTTAATTCTCCCACATGGGCCCCAAGAGCATCCCTTTCCCTGCAGCCTTGCACATACTTGGCTTCATCTCCACTTTTTGTATTTACCATTTTGATACATCAAGAGTGTTAACTCGTTCATGTTTTTTGACCTTTTTCTTCTCTTTGTATGAATTGTCTATTCCATTCTTTGTTCTTATACACACACACACACACAGCACCTTGGCACATACATTTTTATCTTTGTTACCACATTTTTAATGTACAGAGATGTTCAAATTCTGTGCAATTGAGTCTTTTTGGTCTTTTTCTTTATATTTTTCCTTGGCCCTTAGAAAGCCCCTTCTTTAAATCCTCTTTTGGTTCCATATTTTGCATTTAACTCTTACATCCATCTGTTTGGGATGCAGATCCCTACATCATTCTAGAATGGCACTCTTCACTGTTCCTTAGACCTCTCTTTTCTGTTTGTAGCTTCATAATTCACTTTATATGTAGTAGGACTGACCAGGACAGTATTTTCAGTAGGCTTTTTAAAGGGTTTTTTAAAAATCTGTTCTTCCAGATAACCCAGGATTCTTTTTCTCAGAGCTCAACCTCTTCTTGCCCCTGCACACCTCATTGGGATTTTGATTAGAATTAACTAGTGTGTGAAGAATTCCAACAGTCCTATATAACATTCAATCTTCACATCAAAGCACCAGTCATTCAAATCTGCCTCTAACCACCAGAAAAGCCGTATAGTTTTTTCTTCATAGGTGTTCTTACATATATGTTCAATACATATGTTTATTGTTGAGTTCATTCTAATTTTGTGGGTTTTCTAAGTCGGGTCTTTCTGTTTTATGTAGGACAACTATTGATTGTATATATCTTTTTGTATATTTATTTTATATCTAGCAACTTCATTGAATTATTCTAGGTCTCTAACAATTTACTATTTTATTGCACTTTCTAGGTAATCTGTCATATAACCTGGAAATAAAAAGCTTGCCTCTCCTTTTCATATAGATAGCCTTTTGTTTTGTTTCTTTTTAAAACCCACGTTGGCTAGTGCTTCCAGAACAGCACTCAGTGTTGGTGGCAGTGGTCATCTGTGGCAGATTCTATTTGGGGTAGGGGACCAACGTGTGTCACCTCAAAACACTTTGACCTCTAAAGATTCTGTTACAGCCGGGGTGACCACATGGCCCAATTCTGAACATCAAGGCTCAGGTGGAAATCTGCTAAGATTTGGGGAAAGTCTTTGCTTTGTATTCCTCCCCCTCCCCCTCTTCCTGCCTAGAACTTGGATGCAATGCCTGGAGGTATAGTAGCCATCTTGTAACCATGAGATAACTGAGGACAAAAGTCACATGTAGTGAAATGGAAAAATAGAAGGATCCTAGGCCTTGGAAGAAATTTTTGAGCAGCTATTTCAGCCACCAACATTCAACTTTCTGAGTTCTTGTGCATAAGAAAATAAACAACTTAAGTCCATTTGTCATTCCTCACAGTTGTTTCATTCCTCACTGGCACAGCATCTGGACCTTTATCTTGACTTGAAGGGAGACAGATTTGCTCTTTCACCATTAGGTGAAATACCAACTGTTGGCCATGACTGCTTGTTTATCACATTAATGAACTATCTTTATAGACCTGATTTGCTAAGACTTAAAAAGTCAGGACTGGATGCTGATTTTTACCAAACACCTTCTTGGCATACCTCAAAAATGATTCTGTGGGTTTCCTACCTTGTTATGAAGATATAATTGGATTTATAAAAAGATTTTTTAACATTCTATCTTCTCTGCATTACTAAAATAAACCCCATTCACCAGGGGTGCATTTACATTTACTACACATGAACTCACTTCTCTAGGGCTTTGGGTGCAACAAGCAGAATTGTTCAACAGGGAGCCCAAGATTTCATTCAGGTTTTGCCTGGCAGTGAATAACCTGGGATGGGAATTTCTCCTGCACTCGGCAGGAAGCGTTGCCCCAAATTCAGCTCCTCTCAGCGGCTAGACACCACTGCTAGGATCGTTCTCCTGCTTGCTCAAAAAAAAAGGTGAAATGGAGGTGGGGGGCCTCCCTGAGAATATGGCATGGTGGCTGGGATGGAACCCATAGAGGATCCCAATTTACAGGATGTCTGCAAGGAGATGCACCAGATGCTACAGATTTCTAGATGATGAGTTAGGACTGACTTAATGTGAATTGTTTAAACAACAGATACTTATTTTGTAACTAGTACAATGAGCAAAATATAGGGTCCATGGCTCTTCCTATAGCTCTTCTCCAGAATGACACTGTTGTTCCTATCCTGACCAAAGCTGTGATGTGACTGACAGGAGGGAGCCCAGGAGCACACACCTGCTCCCAGCCAAGCCCACCCCCTCCACCCCAGGGCTGGCAGCAAGCCTTGCTCCTTGCCAGTCTGCCTCCAGGGAGGCGGTACCAGTGGGAGCCACAGGCAGAGACCGCCAACTAAGAATGAGGGCAGTGGGATAAAAGAGAGTCGGCCTTTGCGCCACCAGGGCACCAGAGGTCCAAGAGACTCTGCTAGTCAGGATGGGGGCCATGGAAGGTGACGCGAGACCCCAGGTAGGGTTGTGGTTCAGGTTGCGTTTGGGGGTTTGGGAATAGGGTGAGGGTTAGGGCTGGGGTGGGAGTTGGGGTTAGAATTAGGGTGGGCTATTTTTCATGCCATGCATACCTTTTAGAGCAAGGAAAAGGATGCCTTGCTCACACCTATGAATGCTGGGACCAACTGAAATTGTACAGCTGTGCCCATACGAGTCCCACGAGCCCATAATTACTCATTCGAGGACCACAGATTTGCAGGCCAATCGGCCCGTCTCAGCAGAAGTTAAAGTTAATTCCAAGCCAGTATCATTTAGGCAAAAAGCCAACTGGCACCCTTTTCATACTCTAATTGTGTAAATCCTTTCAGTAAAATTTTGAATTTCCAATGGAGTCAAGTTGGAGATGTCCGTTTCCATTTCAGTTTCCTCCCCTTATGAGATCATTTTGGGGGTGGTTATGGGGTGTTCTCAGGGGAGTCCTCTCCCCTGCCCCTGGTAGGGTACATCTTTCTGCAGGGAGTCTAATCAACAGCACCACTCTCAGGGTGCACCCAATGGCGATTATCACTTCATTGGCTTTATTGGCCCCGGGGTGAATCTGGGAGCAGAGAAGCCCTTTAGCATGTTTATCTGCAGCTGTACCGCAGAGGACTCATAGTCACTGTGGGTCCATTTGCAATGATCCCCACTGAGTTATGGTGAGTTGTGTCAGGGTCCCCAGGACCCCCTCAGGCTTGATGATCAAAAGAAGGACTCACGAGGCTCGGAAAGAGTTGCGGTTGATTACCGTGGAAGGATACAGATTCAAATCTGCAAAGGAAAAATGCACATGGGGGCAACAGCCAGGAGAGGTCAGGGACGCACCCCCTGGTATCCCCCTGCAGTGGAATTGCACGGGACCATGCTCATCTCCCAGCAACACATGACCACACGGGCAAAGGCTGCTGACTAGGAAAGCACAGCAAGCCTTAGCGGCCAGGGGCACACAGCACCCACGGGACTGACTCCAGCTCCTACCTTCCCCTCCCACTCCAGAGCAAAAGCACACGTTCACAATAAATTGCATTCTTGGGATAAACTTCTCTGGTCAAACTGGGACACAGAGCCCAAGGCCTCAGGCATACATGAACGCTCTGACCCACAGAACAATCTAAGGGCTCAGAGATGATCTGAAGGAAGGCTTTTCTTTGGGATGTGCAGGGTTTGAGCGACCCAGGCCTGCTGAGTCAATGCTTTCCTGCCCAGGTGTCCTCCGGCCCTTTAGGAGGGCCCAGGGGAAAACATGTGGGGCCATTTTCCCTAAGGGTTTGTGCCATGGAATGCCTTGCACATTTTCACCTATTGTGCTAAGAATCAGGATCTCCATACAGTAGATGCAAAGGCATTTTGGCCTCGAAGCAAAGCAAAGCATCGCAATGAGCCATCTGCTCTTAAGACTGTGGCCCCTAGCACATCATCTGGTGACTGCTTGTCCTCACAGTGCCCTCCCAATGGTGCCATATGACCCAGGGTATCGGCACCTTGTAGAACAAGCGTCTGCCTGCTTGAGACACACCCAACGCTCACAGTAAGAGACCTTCCCCTGACCCTTTATACTAGAGGAGAAACCTAAGGGCTCAATCCCACGACCCTGAGATCATGACATAAAATCTTTTAAAAATAAAATAAATAAATTCTATTATTTATTTATTTTAAAGATTTTATTTATTTATTTGACAGAGAGACAGCGAGAGCGGGAACACAAGCAGGGGGAGTGGGAGAGGGAGAACCAGGCTTCCTGCCGAGCAGGAAGCCCGAAGAGGGGCTCGATCCCAGGACCCTGGCATCATGACTTGAGCTGAAGGCAGATGCCCAACCAATTGAGCCACCCAGGGGCCCCTAAATTCTATTTTTTAAAAAACTTGACCTGAATGTTTTACCCTGGGGCCTTTCTAAAGGGCCCGATGACACCATAACCCAATGGAGATCATTGTAAAATGGACCAACTTTAGTAATTGTGCTAAAGGGCATCTCGGCTCCCAGGGTAGTCATCACCGTTGGTGGAGGGGGTGGCCTAATACTGACGATATGGACTGGAAGAGGCAGCCCACAACCATGAGCACATCCTAAGGGAACTATAGAAGCTACAGGATATCTCTGAAGTATATCCTAAGACCACACACACTCTCTGCAAGGGGAGAAGTTTTGCCAGCAGGCTGGGTCCGAGGACCCACAGGGGGACCCTCAGGACCAGCCAAGAGGGTCCTTGGCTTCATGCAGGACAGAAATCAAACACAAGCCAGCAGGAGGTGAAAGCTGAATTTATTGACGATAAAGAGAGAGCAGATAGAGACAGAGCATCTGGGAGACTAGGGAAGGAAAGAAGCATGAGCCTCATCTTTGTTTGGGGTTTGGGGTCTGGGGCCTTCTTATTGAGGATCATGGTCTGATGCGTGAGTCTTCTCAGGCATCCAGGAACTGGTTAGAACAAAGACAAGGGCCCAGGTGCTATTCCTCGGATCAGGGGGTTCCTGGCGGCGAGATGTCAAGCACCGGTGATCTGGAATGCACGTATGATGGCTTTGCCTGGTCATTCTCACCTGGTCCCATCCTTAGATGTTATCTGTTCTAGAGAAATCATTAACACCTCATCCCTTACAAGGACGTACACTGTTTGCATTCTGAGGCCTGTGTGAAGTGCGGTTGCAGGTCCCAGCAAGAGTAGAAGCAGGAATTAGGAGCAAAAAGCAGGTTTTTGTGGAATCCTTCAGTTTCCCCATCACAGAAGGAGAAACTGAAACAGAGGTCTGTGATTTGGCTCCATCCAATTTTCAACATTTAATGAACAATTTTGGAATTAGGCCAGGAAAAAGGGCACTGCCTGGCTTCTGCACCTTCATTATACTGGCTCTGAATTAACTTTAACTGCTGCCAAGATGCCCTGATTGGCCAGTAAATCTCATCACCCCCCACAAACTAGTAATTTGTTATATGGGACCCACTAGACTCACAGAAATGGACACATCCTGCCCACCCTTCCCAGCATTCATGGCCATGACCTTGGCACTTCCCTTGCTTCATCAAATGAGTGTGGCCTGGAAACTGGTCCGCCCTATTGCCACAGACATTGATGTGTGTGTCCTCACCTTGTGGGTACTTTGGCGGGGGGATGCCAATTATTGAAGCAACCTAGCATAGTTCATTGGGTACATGATTTTACTGGACACTCCAAGGACTGGGAGCCCTAGTGTGTCTGTGTGTGATTGAAAAATGCCCCAGGACTTTGTCTTCTCATCCCATGGCACCAAACCCTTCAACCAAGGAAAGACCCCATTTCAGAATGTCCATGCCTGCCCCCCACCACACCTGGTATTGGCATATTTCCAACATAGGCTTCCCCAATAATCAGATTTCAGGCAAGACTCCAGTATGGGGCGCCTGGCTGGCTCAGTCAGTGGAACATACGATTGATCTCAGAGTTGTGAGTTCGAGCCCCATGTTCGGTGTAGAGCTCACTTAAAAAAAAATCTTTGGGACGCCTGGGTGTCTCAGTCAGTTAAGCATCCAACTCTTGATCTTGGCTCACGTCTTGATCTCAGGGTCGTGAGTTCAGACCCTGAGCTGGGCTCCACACTGGGCGCGGAGCCTGCTTAAAAAAAAATCTGGGGTGCCTGGGTGGCTCAGTCATTAAACATCTGCCTTTGGCTCAGGCCATGATCCCAGGAAGCCTGCTTCTCCCTCTCCCCCTCCCCCTGCTTGTGTTCCCTTTCTCGCTGTCTCTCTCTGTGTCAAATAAATAAATAAATAAATAAAATCTTTACTAAAAAAAAAGAACCCCGGAGCTCCAGGCTCTCTTAGAACAGGTTATAAAGAACATCCAACCTTCTCTCCCCAAACCCAAATCTTCAAGGTGTAGGACCCCCATTGTAGCCT